TCTTGCTTGACAATAGACATTTTTTTCGATTCATTAGCTAATCTCAAAGCAACCTATCAAAGTAAATAAGCCATATATTAGTCCACAAGCCATAATATAATCTCGGAGCTACAAATACACTTGGAAGGGAAATCCCGCGAGATGGATGATACAATATCTCTCTATGGTTTGTGGGTCCTATATTTGTGCTCTTGGTTTAGCAATGGGGTTACAATTTAGCATTCATTATAATTTAAATTTTAAATAAAAATAATTTATTAAATCATTTACTTTACCCTTTAATATTTATAAAAAAATTATAATTTTTCGATATAAGCCATTAGTTTTATTAAAAAAGAAATATCCAGAACTACATTAAAAATTTACAATCATAATCTTAAAATAAAAACATAATTATGATATTTTTCTATAACCATTGTCACAAGAAATTAATCACTTAAAATTACACAATGACCATATAAGAAAAATGTTAAAACTCTAATAAAAACTCGAACAAATGATAGATACGAACAAATATAATCACATCAACAAATGAACGAAAAAAGGAGATCAAATTACGGAAAGACCATCAAAAAATCACAAATCGGAGTTGAGCGTCATAAGAAAATATTCCACGAATGTAAATCACGTGTCCAAATCTAATACAAGGGTTCAAAGGGGGAAGATCATCATGATAATGAATAAGTGTCATCTTGATTAGTCGAGACGATCTCAAATCTAACCCTAAAAAAAGATAAACAAAAAAAGCGATCAAACAATCGACAACGAAGACCGAAAATGTACCAACATATATATAATTTTTAATATGAACTACATAATATATAAAAATTAAAATAACAATAGCATATTGTAAAATTTTAGATAGCAAAATGTCGGCCCATAATTCATATACAACTATTGTTCAATCACTTCAAATGCTGGAAAGGCCTTTAAATTTAGATGGATAATCCAATCATTATATCTTAGGTCCACCCATATATGTGATCTTTAGGGTCTATTTATTTCGCTGTAATTGATTTTCTGAAAATTGAATTATAGAAAATGAATTATTTATGGAAAACATCTTTCGGAAAATGTTTTCCAAGAAATGAATTACATTTTTGAAAAACATTTTACGATGTTTGGAAAGATGTTGTTTAAACCTTTTTCATTAATTGATGAATTTTTTAAAAATTATTTATTACAAATATTAAATACAATAAATAATATTATTTATCATAAAACTTAATATAATTATTTTTAAAATATTAAAATAATGTATTTGTTATTAAATATTATTTTTATAATTTTATTAATAAAATTATTAATATTGTTATATTTATTAAAATAAAAATATTATAAATTATATAATTATTTATTAAAGTAATTGTGTTATATTATATTTAAAAATATTAATTAGTATATTTTAAATATTTATTAAAATATTATTAGATTATTATATTAATATTAAATATATAATAATACTATTCATCATTAATAATTTAATAATATTATTTCTATGAAATTAATAAATAATAAAAATTTTATTAATAATTTATTATATATTAAAATAAAAATATAATATCTTATATTATTATAATATAATTGATTAATTTATTATAATATTAAAAATAATATTATATTATTAGAAATATTAATAAATATTTTAATAATTAATATTTTGATTAAAATGATATTAAAATATTTTATTAATATTAAATTCATAAAATAAAATTATTTTGAGTATTTATTCTTTCAAGTGAAAGTTCAAAAAATGACTTATAGAAAATTAAATCGTAAGTCGTTTTCCAGAAAACACAAAGGAAATTATGTTGATCAGGAAAATATTTTATGTTGACCAACTAGTTTTCCTCCAACCAAACATTGGAAAACATTTTTAATTACGTCACTTTCCTTAATTTTCTCCCAAACAAACGGACTCTTAATCTCACTTTCCTCCAATAACCAACCATGTAAGTACTCTTAACATTAAAGATATCATTGCCTTCAAGAGCCCAATAACAAACCCATTAATTAATTAATTTATTAAATATTATTTTTAAGTTTCTAACATTATTTTTATTAAAATAATTATTTTTATAAAAAAATAATTAATTGATTAGCGATCAACATATATAATTATTTTTAAAGGTAAAATTTGAATGATCCGTTTGTTCTATAACGTTGCTTTGTTAATTTCCTTAACTATTTACAAAAACAGCTCCCTCACAAGTGCTGCTTTGTTGAATGCTAGTTTAAATGTTTAAACTTATCAAAAAACAGAGCTGGACGTTAACATGCTCATAAAATATGATAAAATTTGATTTCATAACTATTTGAGATATATTTATGAATTGAGTCTCTGTCTATATTAAGTCGTCAAGTCAATACTTGAAACATTATGTCGTCGAGTCAGTGTTTGAAACCAATGATAGTGCAATAAATATCATTTAAATATAATTTTATCATATCCAAGTGCAAGTTAGAACATACGAATGTCGAACGATTATTTCGTAATTTTTAATAGTCGATGTATCATTTATGTTTTTAATACGCTAGAAAAGACATGAAAGCTTAAAAGACTCATCTTTCTAATGAGGGTACAACTTTTTTCCCTTAATTTATGGCCTACTTACATTCTTAGTAATTCTCTTTTCATCCAAAAACAAAACATTTCATTTTCACACTTAATTAGGCAAATATCTCATCTGATTAAGTTAACAATTGGCTTAATAATTCAATTACTCTGATTAATTAATTTATCTATGATTCAGATCAACAGGCATTTAAACATTAAGTGTATATATGTTATCGTGTGAATATTTAGAGGCTGCCTAAATCAATTACTATTAAATTGATAATGATTGTTACAATAATGCTGCATTAAGGAATTAATTAAAATATTCTGAAATTTGGAGTTGGAATTTTTGTAAATCAATCTTTGGTGGCGTTTGGTTCGCTGGAATGTTTATGAGGGAATTGAAATATGTGAAGGAATTAGAATATGTAGGAATTAGAATTTGAATCTGAAACATGTTTGGTTGGCAGGAAATTGATTGGAATCTAATTCCATATTCTATTTGGTTTGCAGACATGTAAAATGAATTTGATTTTAGTAATGTAAAATGACATAATTACCATTTTTTTCTTAATTTTAGTTGTTTTATAACTTACATGTAGCAATATATTATAAAAATTTTAAAAATATTAAAATTTCATTTTATTGATTGATTATTCATTTCAATAAATTATAAAAATCATACTAATAAACATCATAAGTTAAAATCATCCCAATTAGGGATGGCCATGGGTCGGATTTTTGTCCACCCGACCCCACCCGAGAACGAGAGAACCTCCACCTGAGACCCGACCCGACAAAAATAAAGTTTCACCCGACCCGACCCGACCCGACCCGAAATAATAAAAAAAATATTTTTATTCAATAAAAACAGTGACTTAATTGATAAAAATTATATAGAGGGGTATTATTGTAATTATTCCTAAATATATAAGGTAAAATTATATATATTTTTTGGGTCGGGTATTTTTCACCCTAAACTCGAACCCGACCTGAATATCACACTTAAAAAAACCCGACCCGACCCAAATATCACACTTAAAAAAAACCACCCGACCCGACCCGAATATCACACTTAAAAAACCCCGACCCGATCAAAATATGCTAATAAGTTACCAAAAGATTGATGAGGGTAGTATGGTCAAATTTCACATTTCTTCCTCGAAAGGATTTCAATTCCTTCATGAAATGAATGAAATTTATTTTCCCTCATTTGATGGAATTTACATTCCCTTAGGATTCTAATTCCCTTTGAAAACTTGAATCAAACATGGGAAAGTGATGTAATTGAATTCAAATTTCCCCTAATTCTAAAGGATTCCTGCTAACCAAACGCCACTTATAGTTTTAAAATAGGACAAATACAATACAAAACACACTTTCTCGCTATTTCTTACCTAATTTTCACATTTGTTTATAGTTATGCCTGTAAACGAACCGAAGACACACGAACGAATGTATGTTCATGTTCGTTCATTTAATAAATAAGCGAACCTAAACGAACACGAACATAAACGAATAATTTTTTTGTGTTCATGTTCGTTCATTAAGGAATATAGTTTGTCCATGTTCGTTCATTTAAATAATAAACGGACATAAACGAACACAAACGAACGAACATAAACGAACATAATAAATGAACATAAACGAACACAAAAAACAAACTTATTCGAACATAACAAATGAATGTAAAAAAAGTAAACAACAAGAATAACAACTTAAAATTTATTAATATAACATGCAACTTTAGAGTTAATTTGTTCGAATACGATAAAAACATACATAAATCATAAATAAGATATATAAACATAATAAAATCTTAAAGTTAATTTGTTCAACAAAACAATCTTCTTGAAATCCAAACAACTTCAATAATATTCGTAACATTTTCAACTTACTCTCTGTTCGAATATAAATGAACATAAATAAATAAACATAAATGAACATAAATGAACGAACAAACTCTTTGTTCATGTTCGTTCATTTAATTAAATAAACATAAAATCTTATTTATATTTATTTATTTAATAAATAAACGAACCGTACAATTTATAAACAGTTTACTTATCGTTAAATTCATTTACACGCCCATTAATTGCCACTTATCATCTTTTCGTTTTCCTCCGCTATTGAAAAAGCTCTTACCTGATACGGAAAACAAAACCGTAGACTAATAAACTACAGCAATGAAGCACTGACCCCTCGGGTTCCGCGCCGAAGAAAATTATCAAAGCAAACAAGACAACGCTCTACTAACCCCAGAAAGAAAAAAAGCACCCTTTTGATTTGAAGTTTTAATCATTAACAAAAGTTTTATTTTTCAACAAAGCTTTGAAATTTAACCTATTTCGGCATTTTCATGTTCAAGTTGTTACATTGCTACACTTGGCAATCTCTACTTTACAATTTAATCTTCTTGTTTTATTATTCTTCTTTGGGTTCCCGAGAAAATTCGTTGAAGGAAAAAGATAATTCCTTTTTTTTCTCTCTCGACATTTTTTTTGTTCCAAGTTCCAACTGAGGTTTTTGTTTGTGTTGTTTGTTCCTACGTTCTTTTGAGCCAAAGTTCCCAAATTTACTGTAAAAAATATCCATTTGAGGAATTAATCGGATGAGCACTTTAGTATGAGAATTAAACATTTCCGGTCGCATTATAGGGAACTTTTGCCCGTTCTTTTGGGTAATAATTTGCATTTAGTCTTTTTTTTTTCTTTGAAGTTGATGAAAAAAGTTCATCTTTTTGAGTTGAAAGTAACTTTTTTTTCGTTTCATATCCTTCTGTAGATCTTGTTAAAATGAGCTTTTCTTAGCTGAAAAGGAACTTTCCCAGAAAATATTTTCCTGAGAAACAAACGGGGTTAGTACTCAATATCATCTTTTTGGCACTGGATAAACAAAAAAGTTCGAGTGGCATTTGAAATCATTTTTTTTCTTCATGTTCTAAAATTTCAACTCCCACGCTTTGTTTTTGTTTTTTGTTTTTTTACATTTCATGTCCTCATTCACGGCAACAATGGAGGAAGAAAATTCACTTGCTAGATTACAACAATAACCCTTTCTTTAGTGTTAAGAGCCCATGAAAAAAGGGTACTTTCATGTAAATTTGCCTTCTACCATCCCCTTTAGCTGTAGGGTCCCCTTGTGACTATCATAATGTCCCATGGACCATAAACAAAAGTAAGTTTTTTTTGGTAGCATTGAATGCGGTAAAGATGAAGGGTAGCGATTGCTGTCTGGTTAATTAGTGGATAGCTCATGCTATATTTTTGCCTTTGTGGTTTCTTAAGGAGCACTTGCCATTCATATGAGCTCATTAAATTTTCTTTTTTTTTCACCCTACATTCACATTGAATTCTTCTGTATCAGCTCGTGATAATTTTCCGATTCGTTGCAGGCGGGGGGCAGGGAAGCATTGAAGTGGTGTAGGATAAATATAACTCACTTGTTTTCTTTTTTCCTTTAACTTTGTGTAGGGACAAGATTCTTTAAATTATGCAGACTCCGAAAGCAAGGTAACTTCTAAATTCATTGCCTTCATTACTGCTCATTCTTCACTTGTTAGAAGTTGCTTAGTGAGTTTCGTCAATGTGATTGTGTGGTTATTCTCGAAAATTAAGCAATGCATGTGTATAATGCAAATACAGGGATGATCTTCATTCGGAATTGTATCTACTAGATACTATTAAGGGCCGAATTGTCCGGTTACCGTCTTGAGGTGCAGTCTCTTTCTGCACGAAAGTGAATCTTTTGTTTGTTTCCTAACTTAAGGATAAAATAAGTCAATGGCCTTAATGGAACCAGCAGATGCTGCAAGTGATTCATTCTTCCAAAAGAAAACTTGTGGTTTATCATCTGTTTGAGACCATTGCCTAATCTGTTCCTTTGTGTAGTACATTATCGATAATCTGCTTGTTTCAGGAGCAAGAAAGAGTAGAATTTACTTTAGTACTTTTGTTTCGATTTAGGAAGGTAATGGGGTAAAAGATATATAATTGAAAATTGGAATAAGGGAAGTTTTGGTTTAAGTAATGATTTTTAACCTTTTGTTGAAAGGGTTGGTTGGCTATGTGCTGTTGAGCTCAATTGAATTATAAGAAGCTCTTAACTACTACAAATACAGTACCGAAAATTGCGAGGTCATGCTAAGGGATTCGTTCTGTTCTTGTATCCCGACTTCGACTATAAGAGATTTGTTCTGTTTTTGTATCCCAACTTTTGTATTTCTTCTCGAAGTTTCGAGTGTAATCGTGCTTTTTTCATCTATACCAAATGAAATCACGGTTAGCCATTGTTTAGCAGAAATGGGTCTTCGGAAGTGCCACAAAGGGTCTCACATCGAGTTGTTCGTCAACTCAAACCAACCACAGTAGAGACTGGTGCTGTATCTAGTCCTAAGTCAACTAGCAGAACTTCAAAAGAGAAGAGCCCTAAAGTTATTGATCGTCGGTCACCTAGAAGCCCGGCTTCCGAGGTATGCTAAGCAGAGAACATTATACAGGTTTTGGACACTGCTGATCCTTAGAAAGCTTTTAAATAAGTGTTTATTAAAGCCATTTTCTCTTCTTTTTTTATAGAAGCGTGTCAATTGATTACTTCATTGTCATTTGAATGATGATGGGTTTCTCTTTCACCGTTAAATGCCGATCCATTGTGAAGAAAACTAGTGGTTTGCATTGTTTATTGATATCTTGTGTCCAATAAACATTGTCGTTTTTGATTAACTGATCTTATTGTCTGTTCTTGCTTCAGAAGAAGCGCCCGAGCAGAATATCTGAATTGGAAGCACAAAATTCACAGCTTCAAGAAGAACTAAAGAAGGCAAAGGATCAACTAAGTTCATCTGAATCAACCAGGAAGCAAGTTGAGCAAGATGCTGAAGAGTCCAAGAAGCAACTGTTGGACTTGTCTGCGAAGGTCAAGGAGTCCCAAAAGCAGCTTCTCGAACTGTCTGGTTCCAAGGACACTCACGTAGATGAACTCCATACGGTCTCACAAGAACGGGATCAATCATGGCAGTTGGAGCTTGAAGCTATACAGAGGCAGCAGTCTCTTGACTCAGCTGCTTTGGTGTCAGCCGTGAATGAGATTCAACGACTTAAGGATCAGCTTGAAATGGTGGCTGAATCCGAGGCTGCACAGACCAAGCAAGCAGAATCAGCACATTCAGAGCTTCAGAGCTTGAAAGAAAAACTGGTTGAAACTCATTCTCTTGTGGAGAACATGAAAAACAGCTTAAGGATAGCCAGGAATCAGAAGCTCGGGCCCAATCAAGGGCGAATGAAACTCGGTTACAACTGGAAGCTGCAAAAGAGACTGTTGAAGCACTTAGGTCAGAAGGCATGAAAGCCGTTGAAGCTTACAACTCCATTGCTTTTGAATTAGACCAATCGAGGAAACGTGTTTGTTCACTTGAAGGACTTGTTAACAAACTGAAGGCAGCCATGACTGGTGCTGGTGGCAGTATCTCTATTGAGCCTGATGGTAACTGTATTGCTGTCGATCATCAAGCTGGAGAAAACAAGAAACCCGAGGAATCTTGCCAGCTTGAAGCAGAGATTTCTTCTTTGAAGTCTGAGGTGACACGTTTAAGATCTGCTCTCAAAACTGCCGAGACTAAATGCCATGCAGAAGAAACCCAAGGCACCATAGAGATAAAGAGTGCTCATGGACTGGTTGAGCAGATAAAATCTGAAGCAAGCTCGAGAGAGACCGAGCTGTTAGCTGAACTAGAGAAGGCAAACATTAGTATTACCGACTTGAAGGCAAATATGATGGATAAGGAAACTGAGTTGCAGTGTATCTCCGAGGAAAATGATGAGCTTCGCATGAAACTTGAGAAAACCATGTCACGCCAACGTGAATCCGAACTCGAAAAAGAGTTGAATCTATTGAACGAAACGATTGTTGATCTGAAGGCAAATATGATGGATAAGGAGACTGAGCTTCAAAATATATCAGAGGAGAATGAGATGCTGAGATTGGAAATCAATAAAAGGGATTCGGACAAAGGTAAAACAAATGAGCTAGACGAGGCAAGGGCTGCTGAGCGAGAAGCTATTATGAAGCTTGGACTTGCAATGGAGGAGGCTGATAAGAATAACAGGAGAGCTGCCAGGGTGGCTGAACAGCTCGAGGCTGCTCAGACTGCCAATTCTGAGATGGAAACAGAGCTGAGAACGTTAAAGGTGCAATCTAATCAGTGGCGCAAGGCCGCGGAAGCAGCTGCTTCAATGCTTTCGGCAGGCAACAATGGAAAGTTCATGGAGAGAACAGGTTCATTGGATATCAATTATGATCCAGTTAAGGGAAGGGTTGGCTTACCTTATACCGATGATTTGGATGATGAGTTGCTGAAGAAGAAACATGGGAACATGCTGAAGAAGATTGGGGTTTTGTGGAAGAAGCCACAGAAATAGGAGACCATGAGGCATGCCAAATATACATTCTATCAAAATTGCATTGGTTCCATGCTTACCTATCTCTTATTTTATCTCTAACTTTTCACCTTTTTTATACAGATTTTGGGTACCCGAACGAATGGCCTTCTGCTGCAGTGTAGTTTTCAGTTACGTCATGACGATGTCTGAACAGTGTAGTCTTCAGTTACATCATGATGATGTCCGAACAGGTGTGATACGATATTTTCTTTTCCTTTTATGTGGATATGTAAAATGTGAGTGCCACGTCCTCACCTTGCGCTTGTAGGATCAAACATTCTCTTCACAATGTAAGTTTTGATTTGGATTCTATGGTTTTTCTATTAAGCCGCCTGCCCAAGTATGATGATCACTTCATCAGCTGCTAACTACGAGCATGAATGATCGTTTGTTTTTAAATTCCATTCACCTGCCATGGAATGAGGTGAACGATTTACTGTAAGACAGTGTCATTAACCAGACTCGGGTGCATTGAATATCGGTTCAGACACGAGTGCCCAATAAGTTTATCCATGAAAGCCAATGTGAATCAAACTTTTCTTGCTTAGGATAGCATTTGCAGGCGTCTCGGGTGTGTTTGTATTATTTGTTGGGTCATTGGCTAATTTTTGTGCATACTGTGGCGTATTAGTGTAAGAACATAGCAGAGCATTGTTTACCTGTTGAACTTCGTTGAAGATAAATGTAAGAATTAAGAAAAAAAACTGGTGGCTTCCATTTGGACAAAGAGGAAAAAAATAAAACGTTAGCGACATTGCACCATGTTTTCTATCATATATTGCTAATCACTTTTAATTGTACTTGGAAATACTCTGTCTATTACAATGGTATTCATATCCTATTTTGTTATCATGTTCACAATTGTCTAAATCTATATGAAAACAAGAGAGTAGATAGTCTGTTACCAAGATTTAAAAAAATCTCAAAATTTAAAAGGAAACTAATCCATCAGTCCTTGTTTGGTATAAGAAAGGAACTTACGGTTAAGTACATAATGCCATATGGTGAAATTGGTATTTGTCAGCACCTTCATGCCATGCAGTGGTTTTCTGGTCAGCTTGGCCATCTATCGACGCCTCTCTCATTGTAAAAAAATCACAACTTACGTAATAAGTGACAAATCTGCAATTCATAGATAGAATTCTGCATCAGAATTGTCAATCAAGTGTATATGCATAGGTGTGTCTATATACATAAATTAACTATGGGTATTACTCGGTAAAGTTCTCTAATGTAAACAAGAAAAAAGTTCCAACGATTCTAAGCCGAACCTAAAGGGAAAAGAGGAAGAGATTAACAACTAGCAACAACTACCATATTTGTCATGTAACCAAGAGAGCTGGGAAGAAACAGGCCAAGAGGGATGAGGTAAATCCGAGACCATCCGTAGGGTAAACAACTTGACTGTTGCTCCTTGATGACGGTGAAACTAGGAATCATTTCGAGAAGGCAGAAACAAACCATTCCAACAAGTGGTCCAAAATTAAAGTTTGACCAGTTCCCTTATGTTGCCCTCCCTAGTTTGTATATTATATATATAACCAACTAAGTCCCAAGAAGAGATTGAGAGCAAAAATAACCTTAAATTTGAACTACCATTATGCCCATCCAATTATAACAATAACAAAGACAACAGGATAGCATGTATTAGCCATCAGAAAATGAATACGAGTGTCTCTAATAATAAGTGTCATATTCTTGGAGATCAAACAGCAATCTTCCACAAGGCCATCCTTCAAAGGATAACGATTAGATAATCATTATTCATCCTAGAAATCATATGTTTATATTGAACTGTAAAAAATCAAACATCCACCATTATACAAAACAGCTCCAACTTCTAACATTCAAGAACGAAGAAAAAGGAGCAGGGAAAATGTTCAAAGCTCCAGTGCCTTGAGTCTTTTCTTATAGCTACCACCAAATTCAAATGATGATTCTTATTATAACAATGCAGACAAGAGACAATGGATTAGTGATTACTTCTCAGATTAGTCACACTTCAATAACAAAATATTCATGAACCAGAGCAGATTGACATGATAGAATGATTTCTTTCATAAATTCCAAGAAATAGAAAATTGTTTTAGTTCTATTAATCACTGATGGCATCAGTCCAAGCAACCTAATTTTTTTTCCCAGCATTTTATTAAAGCTCTGAAAATTAATTTGAAAAAGTTATACAAAATTCTAGAAAATGATAATGATCTCTAGCAACATTCTGCCACAAAATCATTGTAAAGAAAATGAAGTCTGTCATCGATCTAACCACTGATATTTGTTCAAATTTGAAAACTTACAATGATTCACAACGCATTCATAGCATGGTAGTATCCACTGGATGGCTCCCTAGGACTCGCAAGAAAGTTGCAAATTCCTGCCAAGGAAACATTCTGTTAGATATGTCACAACTTTGTTTAAAGGAGAAGAGGAAGGGGTTATCCATGGTTTGAATACTAGACTTGGTGCCAACTGTAGAATTGAAACATATTGATAGATATCTAACAACTAATTCTTTTGAATGGTTATGGAAGAGGCAGTGCAATATACCATTAAATGTCTAAGGGCATTCTGTGCTCTCTCTTCGGCCATGGATGCTTTGAAGTCCACATAGAAAAGGTAGTCAAAATATCTAATAGAGCAGATTGACACAATGAGGATGAAATCTTTTCAAGCAACCCACCAAATGGTTGGTAGCAGGATGTAAATAAAGATGTATATAATTTATCAAAATTAGTAAAAGCTATTTTGAACCAAAAAAAGGCAACATTTTACTAAAATTACTTTGAACCATTGTTGCTATCATCAGATGCTCTCAAAGGCTGGTTCCTTAAGGGACGGCTTTCAATCTGATCAAAGGTAACAAACAAATAAAGGATGTTAATACAACCTAGGAAAGAAAACCTTTCAAACGAAGTTTTTCAAGGCAACTTAAACATATAGAGAGAATTTATATAAATGTTTTTAAAAAAACTACCTTTGTAAGGTTTATCTGCCTAAGAGCAAACACAGCAAGTGCCTTGAAAAGAACACCGGGACCCTCCTCTAGTGAGAAAACTATGCTGGTCTGCAAATTAATTGTATTAACAGAACTTTATGAGCAATAATGATTCATAAATGCAGCATAGCAAAGGAACAACTATGATCAAGTACTTTGAATGCAAATGGTAATGTTGTTTGGAGGCTAACCTTGAATGGCTTCTCCATACCAGGAATAATGGGATCCCTAGCCAGCATGAGAAATCGAGTAACATTATCACAATCATCCTGTCAAAAGAGGAGGCATACAAGATGCAAAAGTTCTGACAAATCCAACATAAAACAACTACAAACAAATATAACTGACATAAACCTGAATATCTTCAGCAAGAATGTTCAGTCCATATATCTCTGCAGCCTTAGAACTTGCAACAGCTCCCGTATCTTTAGTTGTTGGGAAATAAACGAGAAACAAGTAATTTCCCTTTAACCAGATTAGTGAGAATGCGAAATAACGGAGTTCAGCCAATTGTGCCTACGTCTCCGGACTGCTGCAGATCTTTTACTAAGAGAGAAAATTTACATGTGTTTACAAAACACTTACTACTCACAAGAAAACTCTCTAGTATTGGGAGGAAGAAATGATTTTTGGGATGATTTTGAAGCTAAATGGGCTAGGGTATTTATAGTTGAAGCTTGAGGACTAATCTTGTAAATATCCTAAAGTGTGCAGTGGCTAAATGTGTAATTAACCATATTACAATTTAATTAAAAAATTAGGGCACCGAACGGTGCCCTCCTTTGTTGAAAATGTGAACCCCTTTTTTTCTTATTTTCAACCCCCTTATGTTGAAAAAAACATTAGGCTGTGTGGTGCCCCCCTTTGTTTTCCAGCTTTGATTTCCATCCTCCAAATTTGACTTGATTTACAGCCCCAACTTTTGACTTCCAACAATCTCTCACTTGAAGACTGATTTTAATCTGTCTTTACACCTCGATCAATGCAGCAGCATTTCTGGTCTTGTTACTCTAGCATGCCAACTGAAGCTGAACACAACTTCCGTTTGTCCGTAGTCACCGTCTTTGTTAACATGTCTGCCGGATTTTGAGCTCCACTGATCTTTTCAAGTTTCAAAATCCCATCTTCCAGAAGAGACCGGATAAAATGATATCGCAGTTGTATGTGCTTCGTTCTGGAATGAAAAGACGGATTCTTTGCTAGATGGATAGCACTTTGACTGTCGCAATACAAGACATTATTTTCTTGTTTCTTGCCTAACTCTTCCAAGAAACTTTAGAGCCAAACCATCTCCTTGCTGGCTTCCGTAACAGCGACATATTCTGCTTCAGTTGTGGAGAGAGCAACTATCTTCTATAGTTGAGAAACCCAACTCACTGTAGTTCCTCCTAGGGTATAGACGTACCCTGTAGTGCTTCTTCTGATGTTGACATTTCCGGCTAAGTCAGCATCTACATAGCCTGTCAGTATCGTATTTCCACCTTTGAAACAAAGTGATTTGTTTGTAGTACCCGTAGATATCTGAGGATCCATTTGACTGCTTCCCAGTGTACCTTGCCTGGATTATTCATGTACCTGCTAACTGCTCCCACTGCATGAGCAATATTTGGTCTAGTACAAACCATGACATACATTAGACTTCCAATTGCTGAGGCATACGACACCTTCACCATGTGTGCACGTTCTTCCTCCGTCTTTGGTGACTGTTCTTTGGAAAGTCTAAAATGAACACCTAAAGGTGTACTTACTGGTTTAGCATCTTGCATGTTGAACCTGTAGAGTACTTTGTTGATGTACTCAGCCTGTGATAACATCAAAGTCTCCGACTTTGTGTCTCTATTAATCCTCATCCCAATAATCTGCTTTGCAGCGCTCAGATCCTTTATAGCAAACTGCTTCGACAATTTTTGCTTCAAGTTTATAATCTCTTGCATGTCTGAACCTGCAACGAGCATGTCATCAACGTACAACAATAAAATAATGAAGCTATTATCAAACCTCTTGATGTAGCAACAATGATCTGCTTGGCATCTGGTAAAACCATTGCTACCCATGAAGTTGTCGAACTTCTTGTACCACTGTCTAGGAGCTTGTTTTAAACCATACAAGCTCTTCTTCAACCTGTATACCAGGTTTTTCTTGCCTGCCTTTATGAAGCCTTCTGGCTGCCTCATATAGATTTCTTCCTCCAAATCACCATGAAGGAAAGCTGTCTTTACATCTAACTGCTCAAGATGTAAATTCTCTTCTTTTTACTGAAAGCCTTTGACAACCAATCTTACTTTGTAGCGTTTGCTCCCATCGTGATCTTCTTTGATCCTGTAAATCCACTTGTTGTGGAGCGCTTTCTTGCCTGGTGGTA